GACGGTAAGCGGAGGGATGGAAGGTTAAGGAAGGTGGGGAGGGTAAGAGGGAGGGTGGGGAAAGTAAGGGAGAATGAGGAGGGTAAGGGGAGGGGTGGGAAGTAAAGGAGGGTGGGGAGGGTAAGGGCGGAAGGGCGGTAAGGAAAGAGGTAGTATGAAGGGAAGGGGAAGGGGAAGGGGGGGATAGTTAAGAAGGTGGAGAGGGTAAGGGAGGGGTGGGAAGGTAGAGAATTTAAGGCAGGAAGGGGTGGAAAGAAGATGAATTTAAGGTAGGGAAGGGTGGGAAGGTAGATGATTTTAAGATACGAAGGGGGAGGGGTGGGGGTAGTTGAGAAGGTGGGGAGGGTAAGCGAAAGGGTGGGAGAAGGTGGGAGGGGTAAGAAGGTAAGGGACGGGGAAGGTGAATGAAAGAGGGGAAGGGGGAAAGGGTGGGAAGGGGAGAGGAGGAGGGGAGAGGGATAGGTGAATAGAAGGCGGGATAGTGAGGGAGGGGGTTGAGCCAGAGGGGGGGAGGGGGAGGGTCCGACGTCAGTGAGGAGGATGGGGCAAGGAAGAAGAGGGAAGGAATACAGAGAAGAGGGAGGGGGGTGGAATGGGGGATGGAGTGGGGGGGTGAGGTCAGTTGAATGCTATTGAGAGAGGGGAGGGGAGGGAGGAAGAGGGGGTAAGATGAAGGAAGTGGCAAGGCCTGAGATAAATCAGGTGGGATGGAGGAATTAAGTGAAGGAGGGAAGGGAGACAGAGAGGAAGAAAGGAAAAATGAAAGAACAATAACAATCAGAAAGAAAACAAAAAACAGAGATAAAACAAAATAGAAAAAAACTAACGAAAGAAGTAATAAGATTAAGAATAGAAATAAGAATAAGAAATAACCCATAATAAAATAAGAATAGAATAACACAATAAGAATAAGAATAAGAATAAGAATAAGAATAGGAATAAGAATAAGAATAAGAAATAACAATAAGAATAAGAACAAGAATAAGAATAAGAAGTAACACAGTAAGAATAAGAACAAGAATAAGAATAAGAATAAGAGTAAGAATAAGAATAAGAATAGGAATAAGAATAAGAATAGAATAAGATAGAATAGGAATAAGAATTAGAACAAGAATAAGAAATAACACAATAATGATAAGAATAAGAATATGAAATAACACAATAATGATAAGGATAAGAATATGAAATAACACAAATGATAAAAGGAAAGTCAGCAGGAGAGTTACGAATGTGAGATAGACATAAAATAAGTGAACAAGAAAGAGGAAACTCAGATGTTTTTCAGACTATATTTTTGCATATTTCAAATTACATAAAAAATATAAAATACGAAAAAAACATACTGTATATATTCTCAGATTTAGGATTTAACATTTCATAACTGTTTTTCTCATATTTCAAATATTTTAAAATTTCAAAATATTTCACGTTTTTCAGGCTTCATATTTTTCGGATTTCCTCTATAACATTCTTTGTTTCATTCTTTTTTATAACTGATTCATATCTCATATTTGCTCTATTCATTTTCTATCTATTTCTATATTTTTTTATCTTATATATTCCCTTTCCTCAATATTTTTCTTTTTTCATATTTCTATTTATCTATCTTAATATACGTATTCTTTCTCATATTTCTCTTTATCTATCTAGATATACTTATTCATCATCATATTTCTCTTAATCTATCTAAATATACTTATTCCTTATCATATTTCTTTTTCTTTATATTTCTTACATTTCATAACAAATTTTGTCTAATAATTTCATATCAGTGTTTCAGATTTCGACTTTTTTTACTTATTAAAATATGTATATTGGTATAAATCATGAGAGATAATGATAAACGTAATCTTAATAATAAGGATGATGGCAAGAACAATAGTTATGATAGTTACTATAAAAGCATAAAAATCATGATGTAAAGGATAAAGTAATAATGATGATAATAATGATGATGATAATGATAATAATGGTGATAATGATAATAATGATAATAATGATAATAAAAGTAACAATAATAATGATAATAATGATAATACTAGTAATGATAATGGTAACAATGATAATAATGATAATGCTAACAATGATAATAATGATGATAAAGATAATAGTAGTAACAATAATAATGATAGTAATGATAAGAGTAACAATGATAATAATAATGATATTAGTAATAACAATAATGATGATAAAAGTAAAAGTAATGATTATAATGATAATGATAATGATAATAATAATAATAATAATGTTGATAATAACAATAATACTGATAATATCAATTATAAAAATAACAGTAATAATGATAATGATAATAATAATCATTATAATACTAACAACAAAAATAATAACAGCAATAATAAAAATAACAATAATAATGATAACGGTTATAATAATGTTAACCCCCCAAAATGACAAAAGTAATGGTTATAATGATGATGATGATAATAATAATACAGCAATGATATAGTTAAATACTAGATCCTTGCAAAAACAGTAAAGTGATGTTCTCATTTGCATTTAACAAAATATACGTCAAGGGAATATATATATATATATATATATATATATATATATATATATATATTATATATAATATATATATATATATATATATATATGCATATCTATCTATCTATCTATCTATC